TAATACACATACGTCAATTACTTCTTGTGTGTCCGTTTTGCAAGTGCATCCATCACACCTGCGGAAGGATCACATCACTTCACTGCGTTGTGCAACCATGGCTATATTTTGGCAATGTGCATAAATGGCGGTCGACCCAAACCTGTTGATCAAGGACGATCTAAATTGCATCCCGCGGCCACGTCTGGGATCCTGAAAGCCGTTGTAGAACCACGCGCAAACTCTGCATGACACGAGCACATGGGCTTCAAGCAACAAGTCCCACAAAATGTCTGATCCCCAACCCCACCACCACACTGCTTGGCTTCCAACTTCGATAGGCAACGCTTAACCGAACCAGCACAAACCATAGAAGACATGGACAACCAATGCACAAGTGGTAAAAAAAAGAATCAAAGACTCACCTGTGTGCAACTGTGGTGCTAAACTCCAAACCATTGACTATAACTCCACACTGCCCCAAGTATACATGTGATGGAAGTGGGTGATTCTGCAATTCTACCAACTCTCAAACCATTAATTGAATGGCAAAATCATTCACAAATGATTATCTGATGGTTGCTCTATATAGGCCATAGAAAAAAAGAAGACATGGCAACTTAAAACTGTATCAAAGAAGTGCATTTGGCGCACAACAAAAACGTACCAGAGTCGTCTTAAATTTCCACGTTGGTGCCAACAGCATCAGCCACAACTCTGATGTAAGGAGCAAGAAAATGAACGCAGTTCCTCTCCTTGGCTCGACCGCAATGCCAATCTGTTAAAGTATTTTTAGCAGCCGGTCACGTGACTTCCCCTTAATGATGGTGCGGGCAATCGCCTGCCTGTCATTGAGTCCTGCGGTGCGCTGGCGCCCCCGACAAGCACAAGTTACTGTGTCGTGCCCACACTGTGGGTTCACATGAGCAGGTCTGAGTTCACGAGCAGTGCCGATGCAGAGGATTTCAGAGTTCGGGTATGTACAGCATACACGTTACCCTCTTATTTAAGCGATGGCTTGGCTTTGGCTCAAGTGAGCAGGCTCAAAACTATGGTTAAGTTGAATCACTATGGATCTGAGCATAATCCGAGCCAAGCTCAGAATATCCATGAGTCGGGTCTGAGCCAGGCCTGAGCCAAGCCATGGCCGAGCCAATCAGTAAAAGATAAAAAAAGTATTGAAGAGTACTTCCCTGGGTGAATAAATGCTCCTTAAAAATGTTACGATCGGGAGGTGATCAAGGCTAATGCGGTTGATGCCACCACACGTCACCATTGCCTTCTTCCCTCTTGCTTTATAGGACAGTTGTAAAGTTCACAGCTGCTCCCCAAGGTCCACTCTCAAGAGTATCTTACCATCTGGCGATAATGTCTGCCCCCTCCAGTGCCCTTCTTGGTGGCCTGCCCTCCTGCAACCTACACGTGTATTCCTAGCATGGCAACTTCAATTATTCTACATGCTTCATAAATCCCCTGCCGGACGAGGGCCTCCTTATATTGTGTGGGTTGTAGTGGTTACGTGACCACACTTCAACACGGTAGTCAGTGCGGGTTAGTTTAAGGAAGATGGACCCATGGCCTGTTCAGATATCATTCACCGTTGATGTCAACCATGGCAGGGAAGTAAACTTGTGTTTAAGGGTGTGCATTGGTAACACTCGGACCTTGCAGCAGGAAGCCCCTGGGTCAGATTCCTGAGCGTTTGTATGTTCACCCACTATTTTACATGGATTTCCTATGGATTCTCCAGTTTCCTACCATAGATAAAAAAAAGCCCATTGGAACTGGTATTGGCCAAACATCTCAATGCTGGAAAATTACCTGCAAATTATTTAATTGGGACTACACACTGTAGCAACATTGTCCGCTAATGCGAAAAAACTGGGCAGGACCCTCCGGAAAAACAGTCTATCGACTGAATGAGGCCTTCCTCGGTAAACAAGCAGAATAATAATTACACAAAAAATACCTGGTGAGTGAAAAAACAGTTTTCAATACACACATACCATTTTTGCAGTGGCCAAAATTATTTTACTGGAGAAAATTATCCTTGCTATGAGGCATATTGTGCCACTCAGCCCACCCCGCATTGCTGTTCTGGCTCTGCTCTGACATTGTTGTTCTTTATTTTATAGCTATGTTTGCGATGAGCTTCAGAGTTGCGTGATACTTTAAGTGAGAGGTATCAGGATTTTTAGTTGAGTAGCGATTTGCAAAGGTGTAGTTTGTTGGCTACTTCATTTAATGTCATTCTTGATCGTATTTGCTAAAACTGTAAAAGGTAAAAGACAGCAAAACATTCGGCAATCACAATAGGTCAATTAATCTTGAAAGACGAGTACGTGGGGAAGGCAGGTTTGTCCAATATAACTTTAGCTGGTGCACTGCAGTTTTTGTTTTTGGTGAGAATGCATATTGGAGAATTAACGTGTGTAAATCAAGCCGATGGTAGCTGTTAAGAACAGGGCTAATGCCTCTTTAGCACAGGTGTCAGTAGGAAGTGCGAATGTGAGGATGCTGGAAGACTTTGCATGTAGTAATATGGATAACGCAGTTGGTTGTGAAAATGTATTTTCGTGACAAACTGCGAGCAGGGGTCCATGTTGGACTATATAACACCCTGGTAGAAGAGAGGCCAGCTTGAATAGCAGTGTGCCAACAGTTGCCAAAACAACCAATTTTCCTTCAAGGTGTTCATGACAAAGTCCAACCTGGTCTCTACTAAGGCCATACAACTGATACTGCCCTTTTTAGGAGATTATCTTCTATTTAGGATTCATATTGCGCCCTTTCAAGATTGTCTCCTCGTGAATTCAGACCATGCCCGCTTAACCTCGTGGATCTCCGAGAACGCACTGCCGCTGTTCACACCACTGAGCCGCCCCAGCCTCCGTGAACACCTTAAATACTATTGGATCATTCTACGTCAACTCCAACAAAATTCTGGGAGATTCCCACATCAAGCTTTGGATTTTATGTTGTTGTAGTGGAAGATACGGATAAGATATACTATACCAAATAATTCAGATACTCTTCGGTTCTTTCGGTAAAGTCACGTAGGTATAAAATTTTATAAATCACGTTTCGGGCGCAACACAAGCATCTGTCATCAGGTGGGAAAGCATGATCTGCTTCTGAGGCAGATCAAATAATTAAGCTCAGTGAAGAATATTTACTTAGCACTCACCTTTAGCAGGCCGAAATTCTTGCATTGGCTAGCAGCAACATCACTAAAGTGACTGACCAGCCTCATACCTGGGAGGCTCTCGTAAATGTAGCCGATTACAACTTTGATAAAAGCATGAACAGTGATAGGAACATGCCACAACGAGTCACTGACAAGAGAGATACTCATGCACTGGACTTTGTCCTATTTGAGATAGTGGCCTGTAAATGGGTGAAGGATGACCTATCAGTTGTTCCAGTGAGGTCCCTCGATTACATCTTGGACAATGAATCGGTAGTTTTCACTAAGGCTGTGGCATCTGTACGACTGACCTCGCAAGAACAGAGGAAGGGTGGCTTGCGACATTTTGACTTATCATGACCAGGTTGCACCCACGGTCAGAATGATCCCACTGGTTAAGTGTGCCGATGTCCTCATCCCCAAGTCAGCTTGTGTGGATCTGGACATCAGGTCGTCACAGAAAGCTTCACGACCCGGACATTTATCACATCGATGCTTCATTCAGTTCCTGCCGATACTGCTTCAGCTGCGCAGCTGTACCACGACACCAGACCTCGTCCGCATTTCTTCCACGAATAAAAATCACTGTGAGCAATACTTCAGCCCAGTATCTGTGGGTTTTTAAAGATTACCAGGCAAACTCATCATATTACCTGTGGATACTATCACAGACAAAATAAGTTATAGTCGCTCATACGATGAGAACTTCTCTCTTACTCAAATTGTATCATCCACCAAAAGTGCCACTCACATCAGAGATGCACAGCAATTCCATTGCAAAATTGGTCCAAAACTCACTCTTGATATACTGTTGCCCCATGACGTGATTTATCATATCTCCGCACCATTTGTTAATTAAATGCAAACACAATACAATTGGATTTCAATATCATTGAAGAGGCTTTTATATCCCTAAGACTTGCGTAATGCGACCAAGATAACATGTGTAACCTTTATGAGCCCTAAGGTTTTTTCCAAACTGTATCCTTGTGCAATATCATACGGCTCCACTGACGAAAATGTTACAGCCTATAGATATAAATTAAAGTACAGTATATGTATATCTATAGGTCCATGCCTTGTATCTTTACGTTGTTGCATATTCCTGCATGTTTAGATATCTGTCTATACGTCTTTATATGTCCATACGTCTATCCATGTCTGTTTACGTGTATATTTGTACATCTTCGTCTTTCTATCCGTAAGTGAATGTTTTGTATACCTCCATGTCTGTATTTTAGATGGCTGTTGGCATGTCTATATGGTTGTCTTTGTCTGCTTGTCTCTACGCATGTCTCTTATATGTGCTGGCTGTAAGGAACCCCGCATGTCAGCGAGGGTGAGGAGCCAGTCGCCTCGCGTCTTCCCGGAACTCCCCCCACTCCATAGACACGAGGCGGCCAAGTGGCCCCTCAGCCAGATGGGATTTGGTGATGGAGATCTTGGTGGTGTAATTGACGGTATTGGTGGTCATGTGGCAGTAATGTAGTTGTGATGATTATCGTGATGTGGTAAAGTGGACATGTGGCGGCGATGATGTGGCGGTGTTGGTGGTAATGATTGTGTTCATGGTGTTGTGGTAATTATGTGATGCGGCAGTGGTGATGGTTGTGGGGGTGTTGAGACGCGGGTGTAAGCGTCACGCAGGGAGAGGTGATAACGCAGCCGCCGCTCCCTTTGCCACCTGCGGCCCACGTCAGGCGGCGTTGGAAGTCGCCTCGCCCGCCCTGGCGGCTGTCTCACAGCAGCGCGACGCGCGAGCTCCTTTTCAGGCGCGAACGAGAGGCTTGTAGAACCGCGCTCCGCCTCTGGAGCCGCCGCGCAGAGCGCTCACCTCTCACGCCGCTGCCTCTCACGCCACTGTCTCCTCCGCCGCCTCCTCCTTCTCACGCCACTCGCCGCCGCCGCCTTCTCGCCTGTCGCCGCGCCGTATCGCAGCAGGTAGTGAGTGGAGAGAGGCCGCGGGCGGGGTCACGTGCTGCGGGCGGACACGAGGGGCGCCATCTTGCCGAGGGGAAGCCGCCAGCGTTCACCAGTCGCGCGTCGCGGGTTGGTGACGTGTGCGAGAGGCGGCCTTCCCCTAGAAACATGGCCGGCGGGACCCCGCCCCGCGCAACCGACGTGTAAACAGCGGCCATCTTATCTGGGGGAGAAACGCTTTTTAATTAGAATCTTTGTTGATACAGAACTGGGGGGAATCCGATGAGATGTGAAGCTCTTTTTCAAAGATGTCCAGTAGGGGCGGGTCAGAAAGTTACAATACAAAACACGATAGAAGTGAAAAATATAAGAAAGGTAAAGAAATCAATCTAAAATAAACAACTGGATGTATTTTATCAGGCAAAGCCCACTGATATACTTATTTTTCAGAAGCGACCTGGCAACAAATTATAACTGAACGAAGTGGATTCTCTTGTGGAAATTCATAGCAGACAAACACTTTCAATAAGCCGTCAACAACACATAGGAAATTCGAAAGTAGTTATTTGCGCATAGTATTTGCATATGCAGTATATTACGCCGTGCTTATACTTGTACAATACACACGCAAAATGTGTAATCAAATCGCAAAAGACAACACGAATGTCAGCACGCTGTGCATGTCAACATGGCGTGACCACTTGTATTGGGTGCACCACAGCCGCGGTGAGACAGAGTGGGTATTACAATACGACCAATTCCAGGGAAGGAGACCAATTCCCTCGAGAGCTCCCTCCGCCAGCAGTGGTGTGAATGAAAAATTGCAGAGCTACGCCTTCAACTTTGAACTGAACAGTACATGTTGAATTTATTTCGCACCGTACGTAGCCAACCGTGCTCATCGGCGAGGGAACTGCAGGGCAACCATCGGTTCTTGACTTTTGGAACTGAAAAAGCTTCATCTGATAATAAAAATAGCTTAGTTTTATTTGTATATATTTAAGTGCTTTGTTTACCTTTTCTCTACTTTGCACTCATTGTGTTTTTGTGTTGTAACGTTCTGCTCTGCCCCTCCTGAACATCTATGAAAAGAGCTTTAAAGCTCATCGGATTCCTCCAGTGTAAACATTACTTTGGTTCTGGAAACCGGTAATGAACTTTGAAACTCGAGTTCACAACTGCTCGGTTTTATCGTGACCACGTGCCCAGCCCCCCGCCCTCTCTCGCGGGCGCGATGACGTGACGTCATCACGCGGTGGCGTGACGTCATCACGCGGTGCGAGGTGAGGACGCGATGGCGTGACGTCATCACGCGGTGATGTGCCGTCATCACGCGGTGGCGTGACGTCATCACGCGGTACGAGGTGAGGACGCGATGGCCGCGCTTGGGGGATCGGGCTCCGCTTTTTCCTCCCCTCGTCTCCTTGCTGCTGCTGCCGCTGCTCCCTCCCACCCGTTGCTGTTCCCGCTCCCCGCGCCGCTGTCCTCGCACGCGTGAGCTGCCCCGCTCGCTGTGGCGCTGCGGGGGAGATGTGCGTTGTCTGTACTCGAGTTTGGTGTCGTGGTGGTGTAGCCGCCGCGCCGTTGCTATGGTAACGGACGGCGTTTACATTACCTCGGGGAGTGGGAGAGTTGAGAGGGCGTGAGGGAGTGGGAGAGCGTGAGGGAGTGGGAGAGCGTGAGGGGGTGAGCGTGAGGGGGTGAGAGAGCGTGAGGGGGTGAGCGTGAGGGGGTGAGAGAGCGTGAGGGGGTGAGCGTGAGGGAGTGGGAGAGTTGAGAGAGCGTGAGGGAGTGGGAGAGCGTGAGGGAGTGGGAGAGCGTGAGGGGGTGAGCGTGAGGGGGTGAGCGTGAGGGAGTGGGAGAGCGTGAGGGAGTGGGAGAGCGTGAGGGGGTGAGCGTGAGGGGGTGAGCGTGAGGGAGTGGGAGAGCGTGAGGGGGGGAGCGTGAGGGAGTGGGAGAGCGTGAGGGGGGTGAGCGTGAGGGAGTGGGAGAGCGTGAGGGGGTGAGCGTGAGGGAGTGGGAGAGTTGAGAGAGCGTGAGGGAGTGGGAGAGCGTGAGGGAGTGGGAGAGCGTGAGGGAGTGGGAGAGCGTGAGGGAGTGGGAGAGCGTGAGGGAGTGGGAGAGCGTGAGGGAGTGAGAGAGCGAGAGAAGCGTGAGGGAGTGGGAGAGCGTGAGGGAGTGGGAGAGCGTGAGGGGAGTGAGAGAGCGTGAGGGAGTGGAGAGAGCGTGAGGGAGTGGGAGAGCGTGAGGGAGTGCGAGAGCGTGAGGGAGTGGAGAGCGTGAGGGAGTGAGAGGCGTGAGGGAGTGGGAGAGCGTGAGGGAGTGGGAGAGCGGTGAGGGAGTGGGAGAGCGGGAGGGAGTGGGAGAGCGTGAGGGAGTGAGAGAGCGTGAGGGAGTGGGAGAGCGTGAGGGAGTGGGAGAGCGTGAGGGAGTGGGAGAGCGTGAGGGAGTGGGGAGAGCGTGAGGGAGTGGGAGAGCGTGAGGGAGTGGGAGATCGTGAGGGAGTGAGAGAGCGTGAGGGGAGTGGGGAGAGCGTGAGGGAGTGGGAGATGCGTGAGGGAGTGGAGAGACAGTGAGGATTGAGAGAGCGTGAGGGAGTGGGAGAGCGTGAGGGGAGTGGGAGAGCGTGAGGGAGTGGGAGAGCGTGAGGGAGTGAGAGAGCGTGAGGGAGTGGGAGAGCGTGAGGGAGTGAGAGAGCGTGAGGGAGTGGGATAGCGTGAGGGAGGGGGTGAGCGTGAGGGAGTGAGAGAGCGTGAGGGAGTGGGAGAGCGTGAGGGAGTGGGAGAGCGTGAGGGAGTGAGAGGCGTGAGGGAGTGGAGAGCGTGAGGGAGTGGATAGCGTGAGGGAGTGGGAGAGCGTGAGGGAGTGGGAGAGCGTGAGGGAGGGGAGAGCGTGAGGGAGTGGGAGAGCTGTGAGGGAGTGGGAGAGCGTGAGGGAGTGGGAGAGCGTGAGGGAAGTGGGAGAGCGTGAGGGAGTGGAGAGCGTGAGGAGTGGAGAGTGAGGGAGGAGAGAGCGTGAGGGAGTGGGAGAGCGTGAGGGAGTGGAGAGCGTGAGGGAGTGAGAGAGCGTGAGGGAGTGAGAGAGCGTGAGGGAGTGAGAGAGCGTGAGGGAGTGGGAGAGCGTGAGGGAGTGGGAGAGCGTGAGGGAGTGGGGTGAGCGTGAGGGAGTGGGTGAGCGTGAGGGAGTGAGAGAGCGTGAGGGAGTGAGAGAGCGTGAGGGAGTGGGAGAGCGTGAGGGAGTGGGATAGCGTGAGGGAGTGGGTGAGCGTGAGGGAGTGGGTGAGCGTGAGGGAGTGAGAGAGCGTGAGGGAGTGGATAGCGTGAGGGAGTGGCGAGGCGTGAGGGAGTGGGAGAGCGTGAGGGAGTGAGAGAGCGTGAGGGAGTGGGAGAGGAGCGTGAGGGAGTGGGAGAGCGGTGTAGGGAGTGGGAGAGCGTGAGGGAGTGGGAGAGCGTGAGGGAGTGAGAGAGCGTGGAGGGAGTGAGAGAGCGGTGAGGGAGTGGGAGAGCGTGAGGGTAGTGGGAGAGCGTGAGGGAGTGTGAGAGAGCGTGAGGGAGTGAGAGAGCGTTGAGGGAGTGAGAGAGCCGTGAGGGAGTGGGAGAGCGTGAGGGAGTGGGAGAGCGTGAGGGAGTGGGTGAGCGTGAGGGAGTGGGTGAGCGTGAGGAAGTGAGAGAGCGTGAGGGAAGTGAAGAGCGTGAGGGAGTGGGAGAGCGTGAGGGAGTGGGATAGCGTGAGGGAGTGGGGTGAGCGTGAGGGAGTGGTGAGCGTGAGGGAGTGAGAGAGCGTGAGGAGTGAGAGAGCGTGAGGGAGTGGGAGAGCGTGAGGGAGTGGGGAGAGCGTGAGGGAGTGGGAGAGCGTGAGGGAGTGAGAGAGCGTGAGGGAGTGGGAGAGCGTGAGGGAGTGGGAGAGCGTGAGGGAGTGGGAGAGCGTGAGGAGTGAGAGAGCGTGAGGGAGTGAGAGCGTGAGGGATTGAGAGAGCGTGAGGGAGTGGGATAGCGTGAGGGAGTGAGAGCGTGAGGGATGGGAGAGCGTGAGGGGTGGGAGAGCGTGAGGAGTGGGAGAGCGTGAGGGAGTGGGAGAGCGTGAGGGAGTGGAGAGCGAGCGTGAGGGTGAGAGAGTGATAGGGAGTGGGAGAGCGTGAGGGAGTGGGTGAGCGTGAGGGAGTGGTGAGCGTGAGGGAGTGAGAGAGCTGAGGGAGTGGGAGAGCGTGAGGGAGTGAGAGAGCGTGAGGGAGTGGGAGAGCGTGAGGGAGTGGGAGAGCGTGAGGGAGTGAGAGAGCGTGAGGGAGTGAGAGAGCGTGAGGAGTGGAGAGCGTGAGGGAGTGGGAGAGCGTGAGGGAGTGTGAGAGAGGAGCGGAGGGAGTGGAGAGCGTGAGGGAGTGGGAGAGCGTGAGGGAGTGGAGAGGTGAGGGAGTGGGAGAGGTGAGGGAGTGGAGAGCGTGAGGGTGGGAGAGCGGTGAGGGAGTGGGAGAGCGTGAGGGAGTGGGAGAGCGTGAGGGAGTGGGAGAGCGTGAGGGAGTGAGAGAGCGTGAGGGAGTGAGAGAGCGTGGGAGTGAGAGAGCGTGAGGGAGTGGGAGAGCGTGAGGAGTGGGAGAGCGTGAGGGAGTGGGAGAGCGTGAGGGAGTGGAGAGCGTGAGGGAGTGGGAGAGCGTGAGGGAGTGGGAGAGCGTGAGGGAGTGAGAGAGCGTGAGGGAGTGGGAGAGCGTGAGGGAGTGGGAGAGCGTGAGGGAGTGGGAGAGCGTGAGGGAGTGGGAGAGCGTGAGGGAGTGGAGAGCGTGAGGGAGTGAGAGAGCGTGAGGGAGTGGGAGAGCGTGAGGGAGTGGGAGAGCGTGAGGGAGTGGGAGAGCGTGAGGGAGTGGGAGAGCGTGAGGGAGTGGGAGAGCGTGAGGGAGTGAGAGAGCGTGAGGGAGTGGGAGAGCGTGAGGGAGTGGGAGAGCGTGAGGGAGTGAGAGAGCGTGAGGGAGTGAGAGAGCGATGAGGGAGTGAGAGAGCGTGAGGGAGTGAGAGAGGCGTGAGGGAGTGGGAGAGCGTGAGGGAGTGGAGAGAGCGTGAGGGAGTGAGAGAGCGATAGG